CGTTCCTCCCATATTTGAGCTCTAGGACCGTTACAAATCGACCAAGGTTTCTAACCAATAGATGGAGGAAATTACTAGCGAATAAATCCAATCGATCAAACTGTTTCTTTTTGAAATATACAAAAATAATTGATTTGTCTGAAATTAACCGTCAACCATATTCCAGAAGTGAGTAGAATGGCTACTGCAGCTGTGATTGCATGCCCAATGAGGGTCGCTACTGACATGATCCGATTATGGTATTCAAATGATGGTGAGTATCCGTTCTGAAACGAAAAATATAACATTTTGACATCAGCAGGAGATAATGATTCGGACCTAATGACACACATTCACGACAATTTTAAAGTACTTTTTTTCAAATCGAAAAGCGAAAGTATTGGTTAGGAGCAGTGCACCGGTGATGAAAGATGCAAGAGAATCTGCCGATTTTGTGAGAAATCAGGCTAGAACGCAACAGTTGTTTTTGCTCCATTTCAGGCTCTGAGAAAGCCGATATCGCCGAAACTTTCTTAGCACTTAGCCAATAAACTTATAATAATAATGGAAGTTCAAAGCAAAATAATATCTCTCTAGGCACTGAAAACACTAAGGGTAACATGCAGGACTGCTTTCTAGTAGCCCTTGTGAGTCAATGAATTGGTCATCCACACTCTCAGGAGATATTGGATCTTGATTTAGAAGCCAAACTCAGCTATGTACTTTATGTTGTTTCCCTCGAGAAACTCTTACAACGTATTATCTTACTTAACCAAACCATTAACATATTTAAAAAGACAAAGGAAATGCAGTGCGAAGCACCCTGTCAATAAGGAGTAGGGGAAGGAAGTAATTCAGAAAAACCAGTATGACATTTCAAGAAACTCTTACAACGTATTATCTTACTTAACCAAACCATTAACATATTTAAAAAGACAAAGGAAATGCAGTGCGAAGCACCCTGTCAATAAGGAGTAGGGGGAGGTAGTGATTCAGAAAAACCAGTATGACATTTCAATTGGCATTACGTTTTTTTTAACTTCCTTGAAAATTCGAAGAGTGTTTGGATAAGCTTTTAAGCAAATAATCGTCACGTGATATCAGAAGACAGGAACTCAATCAGAGTACTTTGTGGGCACCCCTCAGATTAATTTTGTACTGTGAACTAACAGCCTAATAATGACTAATAGTGGCCTAATAATGTCTTGGCTAATATCTCAGAGACAATAGACTTAAGAAATCTATCCATTTTGTTCTCATTGAAGAGGTACCCCAAGTTTACCAACCGAGACACAGTAAGCGTCTAGCGACAACTAGATACAGTAGGATGAGCGTGTGTCCAGAAGCGTTTCTTGCGTGTGTTCGCGTGAATGCAGTCTGCCATCCTCCGCTCATATAAAAATAATTAATAATCAAATGAAAAAAGTAAAAGTTCAGATGATTTTCATCCGCCTGATGCCAAATAGGTACCCAACGACTTGTCAGGCTATAAGTGAAGGCTGGATTGACTCCGGGTGCTAGCCAGACTATCCCGAACTGGACGATGGCCAGACTTCTTCAAGAAAGCTCTGAATGAAAAGAATGCTGAGCCTCGTGTCCCTGGAAAGAGTACTATTCACTGGAACACTCTGGCTCGCGACAGGGACGAATAGCGACGTTATTGGCGCACGCTCGAAGAAATCGATGATAAACGGGACGACAGATGATACAGGTGATTGCCGATCAAACAGACCTTGTAGAACTGTAGAGTGATTGACCTACAATCAATCAATGGTTATACCCACTGATGATCACCTATGCTTATGTAAGCATGACAAATGCATGGCGTAATCCAAGAAATCTCAGCATAGCTACGTCCTCACTCCTTTGACACTCTAAGAGAGATACAAAAGTTCTAAGTTTGATTAGTAGCTTTGGGAAGCGAGCAAGGTAACACCAAAGAACCGAATCTGATAGCTTCGAGGATAGAAAAAATTCAGACAAAAAAGTATGCCAAGTTTAGTCGGGTCTTTTCGGAGGTCGGGGCTGTCCCCATTGAGATGAAGGAAGGGCGAGGGGCTGGTGAATTTTTCTTTGGGTATCAAGCATAGCAAACAATCTGCTATCGGTGTGATGGTNCAAGTATAACGAGAGGAGGGCACGAAGATTTATGGGCCATTTCGTGGTATATCAATTGCCCAGTTTTATGTCATAATTGTGGAGCCATCTTAATGACTGACAGATTAGGTTGGTCAATACAATCTGTGACATTTACGACTGTGAAGCACTTTGGCCTTGATAAACAGCAACTCCCTTCATAGTACGTGTACGTAGACCAGGTCATCACATACATTTACGATTGTGTAGAGGAAACGAGGTCTGGGAAAGACCTACAGCACTGAGATCACCCGTATATCTTGTCATCTGATTTCACCAGAGTGTAACTTTGGGTCATTCTTTTTCTTATCACATCTAATGGGTAGAGGTGGAGTAGTGACAGGAGTAGCACTATCATACACGCATTCTCCGGGATCGAATCCCGGATTGATATCTGCCCAGGCCAACCAAGCATTCCATCCTCTGGTTCGGTGATTTAGTTCCGGTCTTGGGTGAGAGGATGAAAGCACCAACTCGTAATTCTACTGGCCACCTCGAGTCATTGTTCGTGGCTTACATGCAATCAAACTCCCATTGGGATTCTGAATGGAGGTCGATTGCAGAGCGCATTCCCAAAAGAGTGTTGAGTAACGCCAAAGACATTGTCCTTCATACCAATCCCCAATGGGTAAAGGCTCGTTTGTGGGAGGTTAACAGAGAGGGTGCTCTTTTTTTAGCGAAGAATACCAGTAACTCCTTTCACCAGAACGACTGTTCAGTGAAGAAGGGGGATGAGGTGAGCAATGAGTTTGGGATGGGGCACGCAACCAAGTAGAAACAGATCCGCAACAGGCTACCCGCAGCCTGACAACCAGTTCTGATGTTAATATCCAAATGCAGTCTAGAGCCTGAAGTGAATTACAAGTTTGTAACGCTGACCCCACTAACTAGTCTGCAAGAGTCAGGGAATTAATCCCATGTCTGTTTGCTATGCTCATAGCTCAAGTGCATACACAAATACCTTAAAAACTTGATCAACAGGGATTCAGCAATTGATATCCTACTCTCTCATAGCTTTGTTCAATAAATCAACAAAAGCAGTGTAACAGAAACTTTCCGAACTCGACGAGCTTCTGTCAGACATGATGCTGGATATATAGTGGAGCGACGTGGCAGTAAATACTAGGCACAAATGAACGTAGACACGTATTCTACCATACGAAGGATCCACGTCGTAGGTAGTGATAGCCGACAACTACAGCACTGTGCTACGAAATATGAAAACCTGTTATAAGTATGGAAAGTATCTGCCGAAAATTTCGCAAATGTCCAGTTTTTTTTCGGAACGTTCTGAGAGTTTCCATGGAAATGTCTATAAATGGGCCTTCCTCATTCGCATGCGCATAAAATATATCAAAATGTCGTAATATTGCAGCCATTTGAACAGATTGAGGTTAATCTTCGATCAAGCTTTGAGGTATCGGAACCCGATGAGCCCAGAACTGCTTTTATGGGTTCCGAAGTCGAATACATGGCCCCAGTTCCGATGTAGCAGCGGAGGAACCAGATCCATGCTCGTGAAGGAGTAGTTGTCGGGAAAGTGGGACAATTTGTCCGTTATAGGTTGGAAGAGAGAGCCAGGTCTTTTATGCACATGCAAGAATGTGCTGCTTTCACGAAGTATGCCTACGGGAACATCGCCTCATCATTCGGCGATCAGCTGATTGTGTGTGGGTCCTAAAACGAATAATCGCAATCTGTATTGCCTCGACGTCTGACGTGGCATCGATCGAGAGGCGGAAGCCACTCAAGCCAGCAACAGTGCCTCCACTGTCCTGACCGTCGAGATTTTAGGAGCGAGAGGGTCCCTTCTACCACCCATGGGGACCACTGAGTATTCCAGAATGAAGAACTCAGTAACCTTTTTTTATCGTGAACCGTGTCTTTGAGAACGAGCCAAATAAAGTAATTAACTGACAAAAGTAGCTTAGTCCTCTGCGATCATGTTGTGCACCTCATCTGGGTAAGAGATCTAATGGGAAGTATGAATGTGGTCTTTTTTTCATTTTTGTAGAGGCAGCCGAATTTTTCCGTCCCCTCTTTCTCCAAATGCTTTCTATGGAAGCGGCGGATTATCTGTCGCAACGAGGAGTAATTGATATCACATCAATGTTTCCTTGAATTTCCGCTTGCCATAGTCTGTTATTCGGACCAGGACCCACACTCTCGCAGTAAGACACATTGTGTAGCTCGTCCAAACGCCCCACTCTTCTTCATTTTTCTGGTCTCATTCTCGTCCAGCCCCCTTTTTAACGGTGTTTAGAAGCCTTTTTTCACAAATCACGCAGTTTCTTCACATCGCACTATTTTCGATCTTGTCTTCCGTTTTTCATCAGAATCTGGGTTACCCAAAATTATCGTTAACTGTGCCTTTAAAGGGAAGAAACTCATTCATCACTATTATTTCGAGCGTTAAATAGAGGTCGAACGCAGGGCGCATTCCGAAACGGAATAGATTGAGGCCGAAGACTTTATCCTTATCTTTATTGACTCAGTTTTCATTCTGAATTATTTCNTCTTCCGTTTTTCATCAGAATCTGGGTTACCCAAAATTATCGTTAACTGTGCCTTTAAAGAGAAGAAACTCATTCATCACTATTATTTCGAGCGTTAAAGAGAGGTCGAACGCAGAGCGCATTCCGAAACGGAATAGATTGAGGCCGAAGACTTTATCCTTATCTTTATTGACTCAGTTTTCATTCTGAATTATTTCATACTGTGATTATACCTGCATGTTAATGGCTAGTTATAGCTCATATGTAGCACACCTAAGCTTTTTCTTTCAATTTTCCGTTCACTACGGCTGACTTCTTCTAGTCCATTCACCTTTGTTATCAAATTTGCAGAATTCATTTCTATTCCTTTCCGGGACACGTCCATGACCCTTCCATGAAATATGTCATTTAATGGATGTAATAAATGCAAATCGATAAGGCCGTCAGATCAAAAACTCTCGAATGCTGAACTTAGCAATTTGTTATCTTAGTAATATTATATAAAAATGAGAATTTCGATTACAATGAATTTCCGGTCATCGGGAGACTCCGTTCCTCTGACCGAACTGGTAAGCGTATCATCTCAAAACTTTCAAGTCATTTGTTTAATGAAAAGCTTACCTTATCTCCGCCCTTTTCACTATCGTTGAATCACCGAGAGAAAACGTAAGCAGCTCTCTGGGACTTTTGTAGATCACCTACCAACCCTGTAACTATGCATGAGAGATACTGTAAAGTAGATGACGATCACAATAAATGGTAATGAGGGTATTGATGAAGGTAGTTCATAAATGGCGATGTTTGGTGGCGATGTTCAAAGCAATTCCTTTTGTCGCCTATCAGATCACTGATAAGCGGTGACGGAAGCGCCATGTTCAGCGCCTAACCAATTTACCACCGGCGCTATCATGTTTCTTTGAGGTACTGGGCTATTGAACACACAAAGTGCTTTTCACGCTTTGCTGCTCACAATTGGATGTATAAGACAGAAAAAACCATATGAAGTTGAATGGCCAAACGCCAGTTGGCCAATTGGCGGTTCCATAGGATGCGCCATGTGTCCACTATCCATCCAGAACCGTAGGGTGACTAACGTATGGATGAGACTCAGGTAGTCGCTACCACGTCCTTCCCGATAAGCAAGTTACGATTCCCGCCCTGCTTAGCAGGAAGACAGTGAGAATCCGGAATAGAAAGGCACCTCGTATAAATCCCTTCGAATCGACCGATTCGGCCGCAATACAGTTCTTACCGGGTTAGCCCTCAATTGGAGTTATGATGCTGTACTCAGGCTTTTAAGGTTATACCGAAGAAGGGACTAAAATAGTATAACTTGACTCGTACACGCCTGACACCTCGGGAAGGATTTAACGCATACACATGCGTGTGCGACTGGGGATAGAGTAATGGAAGTGAAAGAAGGCGAAGGGGAAGAAGTCAGCTGAAGATCTTCGGCATTGAAAGCATCGCTCGACCAAACGACTCCTGTGAAAAAGTTTGATTTACACTGGCGTAATAGAGAGAACCCTCTCACGCCCAAAAACTTGACGGTTAGAGCATAGTAGGAGCCGTTCTCTGCTTGCGCGGCCTTACCGCCCCTCGATCGATGTCACGTCAGACGAGTGTGATACAGACTGCAATTATTCGTTCTAGGACCCGTACATAATCAGCTGATCGCCGAGTGATGCGGCGATGTTTTTCTCTCATTCTTTTTCCTCCGTTATTCTTTTTACTGCCGCGATCCCTTATTTAATCTCCCACTCCAATAGGCTAGAAAAGGTGAGCTATTTTTGCTGTTACTAGGGTTTTTTGTTTACTTATGCTTATAAATGAATAGATTTTAGTTTACCGTAATCAGTTATTTGCACCAGGACCCACTCGTACGCAATGATCCACATTGCATGACTCGTCCAAACGCCCCGCTTTTCTTCGTTCTCGTCCGGCCTCTTTTTAACTATTTTTCGAAGCCTTTTCACTTTAGAAACATCGATTCGCATACTTTCTTTGCCTCCATCGCACTGTTTTCCATCTCCTATTAATTTTTCGTCATAATCTGGATAACCAAAATTATCGTGAATTGTGCCTTTAATGAGTGATTTGACGATCAAAATGGTGCCTGTGCATCTCGGGTAAGTACTGCGAACGACTCCTTCAAAAAAGCCCAAATTTCGGTATTCTTAGAGGATAAAGGAAAGACTTCATTGAGTACACGATGTCCCCTCGGGCGATACCCTACCGATCCCGACTCTACCGTATTAGACGATCGGATAGGAGGAAATGGTAAGAATCGAACAGATGAGCACGTGGTTGTCCGGAGCCAAGTTCAGAAAGAATATTGTAGCTCCCTGAGCAGTAAACTCATTTACCTATTCGTTTCGGTTCCCATATACCTTGTAACACTTAGCTAGCGGTCAGTGGAAGTAGGAAACTCTGACCTTTCAGAATGTTTTTATCTTTCCAGGTACAGGAATTGAATTTTCAGGGTTTGGGTTAAAAATTAAATTAAAACATGGATTAAAGATCTATTTTCATTTTGATCTCAATGTTTTCATAGCTGTAAATCTCAGCTTATAATGATATCATAGATTTATGCATGAAACAGTTCACACCATAAGAACGAATGTTGCGGTAGGATGCTCAGTCTCATCATAACCCACCAGTACTCATTGTAGGTACTGCTCGTAAGATCAGCAAAGCAGCGCATGAAGATTATGCAGTAGTACAATGACGAGACTGTAGGATTACGGTAAAATTTTTTGTGTCCGCACCCTATTTCACACCCTCCGTGCAATAGCTCGCTCTAAAGCATATCGCGACGCATGGCAACGCAACCGCCGGCACCTTCTGTGGTTATGTCGAGGCATTACAAAAGCTCCCTTAAACGAGTAGTTTTTTCAAATAATTCTGGTAAATTAGATAGTTTTCTAATGTAACCGAAGTAACGAAAAATCTAAAGCTTCTGAACTTGGCTAGATACCAGTAGATGGTAACAGATTTTTCCAATTTTGTCGATGCCTTTAAGTTAAAGTGCCCTCATTTGAAGTGTGCTGTTACTAGTACATAAATGTTGCCGTTTAACGAATATGTCATTCTAACTTTGTAGATTTTTCTTGTGTACACGTGCAACTCTTTCAGGGCATGTTACATCGGACCGGAAGGTCTACCCTCTCCATACGATTGCACTCCTCATTAGCAGACAAGTTACGTGCAGTAGTTTCTGGAGATGAAGAGAAAAAACCGAGTGCCGAAAAAACTAGCAAACGCGAGGCATTGGATGTTCCGGTAACTTTTGGAATCATTCCTTTCCTAATTGAAAATCGCGAAGGTCTGTAGTCAATTATTAGATTAAGACTTGAAATTAAAGTTAGTAGATCCCGGACCACTCAACTAAACAGTGTTGTAGCAGCGTCATCGTGTTGAGCATTAAAATCCTTCTAAAGTGAACTTCTTCTACACCTCGGTCTTAACTTGGGAAGTCGCAGACCTCGGATCGCAGCTGCGGTTAGAGCAAGTAAAGGATTATGTAAGGAACCGATATGCGATTCCTCGCATCTAGTAGTGGTTTCCGTGTAGGTTCAGAATTTTGCCTGAGTTTCTTGTGAAAGGAAAATATGTCCTAGCATTTTTTACATACTTGAAAAATGTTAACAGGTAACTTATAGGGTGCAAAATACAATATGTAAGATTATTCCTGTCTGCTTGCGCCATTGGCTTTGAATTAGTGAAAAAGTGAGTGAAAAATTTCGGTTCTTAAAGGCTACATCGTTCAACGAAATGTTCGTAATGCCAAAGCGGAAGCTGCGTGGACAATTGCTGGTATGTTATCGGATGATACATTCACGCAAGAACGTTATTGAAACTCTTACCTTTTTCCAGATAGAACAGGCTACAGGAAGGGTGAATCTAGAACAACGAAGTCGCCCCGATATTTATGATCGCCTAGCTGTTCGAAGACCAAGATCTGAGGAAATGTCCACTGACCAGGTAAGCTTTACTTTTGTCTATGAGATCCAATTGACATAGCAGACGATCTGGTGTTCCTCTCTATATTGTCGTTGAATTGGATTCATGTCAAAAACTTAGGACTGGACAGCTGTTTGGCCTGCAGCGCGAAGCTTTGCCTCATCAGTGGTACCGCTTCCAGTGCGAATGGGAACTCGACCTAATCCTGAGAGACGAGCTCCATTTAAAAAGCAGGTGCGCGTGGATTAATTGCCTTGTAATGCTGAATATTCTTTCGTTTGTTGTCAGTTATGAATAATTTAGGGTAATCTGGAACTGGTGAAAATACCTAACTTCCTTCATCTTACTCCCGCTGCCATAGAAAAGCATTGTAACGCCATCAAGAGTAGGTGTCCTACTTTCATTCTTCAATGGATGCAGAAGATTAAAAAGCTGTTTAGAGTTCTGCACTGAGTTCCCACCAGAATTAATAAACGACCCTAGCTTGGCAAATTCTGAATTTCCTGTACGGATTACTTACAACACTTATGTACATCAAGGGGTCAACATCCGGGATAATCGATCGCGAGTGATTACTCTACAGGTAAGATATAGTTTTCGTATTTGCTAATAGATTTCTTTGTGTATATTGAATAAAACTTTGTGAACATGACTTAATTTGGCTGGAATTAATTAATACAGAACATTAATCATTATCATTAGTTACAATATTGGCCGGTGTCTATTTACTATTACTTGATATTCCCGGCTCATGGTTCTTTGTACACTTTCTGCCAAGTGAACTCTTTTGCCGTCATCAATTGAATTGTGTTATTTCAGTTTATTGTAAATGGACCACTATTAAGCGTACGAGTCCTTGCTCAATCTTAGTAGAAGGGTGTATACTATACGGTCTAAAATGCCTCGAAGCGGGAGCAGTTAGCTCAGTGACGAACGGTACTCATACTTGTCCTCCTCCTCAACCAGCCATATTTATTTGCTTGAGTAGGGCGACGGTCAGCTATTGTCAAGCTGCTTCACATTTTTTCATTCTTTCTTTTCAATGTAGCTCTCGGATTTTGATATTCTTCTACTGATATTACTGATGCTCATTTTGAGGGCAAAGTTTCTCTACTTCAACTTTCGCCTCTCATTTCCAGGTGAAACTCTCTGCCCTTCCGTTGTCTCCTCATGCCAGAGAAAAACTTATTCGTCTGGCTACGAATCGATATGATGAGAAAACGGATATGTTGACCATCATCACAGATAGGTCGTTTGTTGTTTTTCACAAATCTGGAGCCATATATCATCGTGTAGTTAAGGTGCTATACAAGAAAACAAAATCTGGATTATGCCTTCTATCTTCTCACAGCAATATTCCACGAGGCTCATGTTAGTTATTCAACTATATTTTTGCTATCTGTAGTCTTTGAGTTGAATTAAATGGTTTTCTTTATAGAAAGTAGAGCCATGGGAGACATTGAAAGAAAGAGCTGATAGTCTCAAAGTCGAGTTCGAAGGCTCAGAAACTCAAACGAAGTTGATATCGGTTTTGAAGCAGGTCATAGCTCATGATAAACTTGTGAGTTTCCATCCTTGGCTTTTAATGTCAATCAAAAAGAAAACTACAAAATCGATCTAACAGGAAAGATTCTTCGCTACCATGGCTTCGATTCTAATTTATGTCTATGATACGGTTTTGGATATGATCTGACTCTCCTCTTAATTAGGAATCACCATTGAAGAGTCGCGTGGAAAATGCATCTGAGGAGAAACTGAGCAGTGATCCTCAGGTCAAAGAATTCGCCCAAATGTGGAATAAGTATATCAATACTGTAAGTACCTTCACTATATCTTTTGCACTTACTCTCTTCCTTTTAAACTGTCCCTAATGTGTTCAAAGTTTTGCTGGAAGCGTCTAAGTGGATAGTTCCTTGACTTTTTTATTGAACAGTTTTTGTTATTCTTTTAAACGATCTGAAGGCATGAACCTTGAATGCAGCTTACTTCTTTACAGGAAGAAACACCGGAGAAGACAAGAGAGTATGCAAAAAGGATAAAGTCTCTCTTCGGAATCAAACCACTCACTGAACATCGAGCGTGATGGATGTCTAGTGTAGGATTTGATTGTTTCCAGTTGTCATTCGAAACACTGCGAACTTTTCAGAACGTGTGTAGCGTAACCTCATTCAAAGAAGCATTAGTTCATTAGATCATTAGATTTTATTGTAATTTTCCGAGGGGTGTTAGCAAAAAATCTGCCACAATCTAACTACGGTAGAAAAGAACGACCTGTCCGGCCTGTTTTTACTTTAGAAAGATTTTGGGAATCTTGGCGTGAGGACCAACACTTCCTCGCTTCATTGTCCTTTATTGTCCTTTTAAGAACCACCTTATCTTTGAAGGACGTAAGTAGTTCAAGTGCCCATGCTAAGATGATAGTTGTAATCGCGGCATTTACAGTATCCACTGAAAGGAACGCATTGTGTTCGTAATATGTACATTTTTGTATCCCCTGCGAGGCTCAAATAGTAGGAGTTGTTGTTGGTATCCCCAACCTTTGGAGGCGATTGTTTTACCTACTAGTTTTGTTATGTTATTGTTATGTTTCTGCCGGCAACACGACCAGATTTTTATCAGATTTGGAAAATGTGTGATTCGATTTATGATTTTCGATTTCTTTGTGTAAAGATTTGAAGCTAATGCAGCGATTGCAAGAATGGCTACAAACCCAAGCCTAACTTCAGGAAGACGAGTTTCATGAGGTATTGCAAAGCGTTCTCATCTTTCTAGAACCCTACCATACAGGCAACTCATTGGTAAAGTGATGATGGTTTTAGCAAGTTTTGCGACCGATTGAACTCTTAACCCTGACACAAAGCCTCTAGACACAGGTAAACCTTGGCGTAGAGAAGTTTTATGTTTATACTCTCCTTGCTGTATCTGCTTTTTGAAATTCTAAACCTTCGTGAAAGGGTGATATAAGGATTATGCTATCGGACAACGCTCTGTATAACTCTATTGGGGGAAGAGCATTTACCCCACACAGGCTGTACAAGAACGCGTCTTCGACGTCTTGGAGTCTTTCGCTCCGGAGCTTGACAATGGTTTAAACGACTGTTATCCCGTTCTCTCGGCATCACGTTGTGTTCAAGCAAGGCTTGGCACCCTTTAGACAAACAGCTCGGTTCAAAGATTTATTTTTCACTTCTTTGATAATACTTTTGTGATTTTATTACCGTCCAATAATTATTACTCGACATAACTCCTGTCAGACATACATGACGTAGAGGACACCTGCCAAAAATAAGACAATTCATCCTATAACAAAAACCACATACCCATTAGCTATAAATAACTCGTAGTGTACATATATACTTCATAACGTGATATTCAATTAAAAGTGAATAATAACGAGTAACAAATATAACAACAAAGCTAATTTGGGATTCTATATACACGACATAACTCGGATCCATAAACAAAGCATAAGAGACAACCAAAATACCAGTCACAATAAGATTTATTGCAAGACCAGTCGGACTCTGGTACCGCAACCGAAGTAGTAAAATCGGGAAGATTATACAGTAAGCTGTCCGAGATTTCGGAATATGCGTTTCCCCGTCTCTCTATGCCGACCCATACTCTGCAAATATCTTTCTCATGAGAACAAGTATACATAAGAGAAACATGGAACAACACGAATACCCCCTTACCTGCAAAATAAAATAAGTATCACCGCTAGGAAGTTGTTCCTTGGTTGGCATATTGTAAAATGGACCAAGATATTGTGTCAGCGATCTAAACACACAGAACTCTACGTGTTGCAAATGCCAGTGTATTTAAACTTCCGAACATTTTGACGAACTTTACATAGAGACATGTACCACGTGGTCTTAGTTTTTTTTATTTGTAGGAAATTTAGTTGCGAGGGAGGCTAGCACACTTTTGAATCATTGATGGCTTGAGCGCAAAGAATTAGGGACAGTCGACTTTATAAGCCCTCAATGGTGCCCTCTTATTTGAAAATGTGTTTTTTTTTNTTTTTTTTTACCTAAGCCCGAGAGGGGAAGAAGCTTCGGGAAAGGTGAGCAAACTGGTTGTTCAATTCTTCCCCCATCTCAGCTTTTTGCACGAAACGATCATCTCACCCACCCAGGAGCTCATCCCTTTCTACTAAGGGTTAGGTGAAATCAATCCGCGACCCCCAACTACATTTTCGCCTTTTGATTTACTTGTAATTTACTATTTAATTTACTTTATCAATATATGAAGCTATCATCACACGATTTCGTCCTATTGAGAGTGCTCTCCACGTCGGTTAAACATCCCGAGATACGCCGAAAGTTTTGGACCCTAGTAACAGAGGAAACTACAGATCGATTACAGACCGAATTATCTGGAAAAAGCACGCTTTTTGTTATAAAAGAGGGAGTTTTGATGAACTTATCAACTGATAATCCAAGTGTTCACCAAGTATCCAACTTCTTCTACGAGTAAGTAAGTATAAAGTGAAACTTACTTCGCATAGTATTCGCCGGGAACAAGGCTGTCCCTCAACGCCTGACTGACTTCTTTTGGAAGCGCCTCAACACCTGGAAGCATGGACGGCGACGCTGGGCAGTTGGAAAATCTCCTTTCGAATGACAACGGTACAGGACTGAAAAATGGAATGTAATGAACTAACGAGAGATATTTTCTAAAACGGATTCAACAACAAAGACAAAGGTTCAAAGACTGTTGCCAAGGCTGAGTCTGTTGAGGGGGGCAGATGGCAGAGAGTGAGTGTTGCCGTCTCAGCAAGCTCGTAATAATGCTCTCAAAGCAGGAACAGTATGTTAGAACGCACTAGCACTTTTGAACAGAAACAAATCAGCGATCAAATAAATTTTCACTTCCTCCCCTCATCCATCCTAGCTTTTTCTACGAGGTATTCATCCAATCAACCCAGTCCTTCTTTGCTCTTACGACTTAGACGAAAAACTATATCCTTTTGGCTAAAAAACGTTCTTAAGCACAATACTACTCCTTCTTCTCTACCCTCTGATATTTCCTGGGTCCTTTGAGCCATATGGGTCCTAGCAGTTTTGGGAGCGAAACCAGCGAATACTGATTTACAGTGTCTGTGTCTGATGTAGTTGGTTCTGAATTACAACGAAGTTGTAATTCAGTACCATCTACATCAGACTCTATTGCCTCATATAAGGAAACGAGGCAGCTAAAAAAGACCGGGACAGCACAAGAACCCCTCTCAGCACAAAGTAAGGTAATGATCTAGCAGCATACAAGAACCTCGAAGACAAACATCAGTGAAAAAGTCATTCACATCACTTACTTCCCATCCTTTGCACGTTTGAATCCGGATGCGGTCGGGCTGAACGGATCGTCGGGAACCGGGGAAGCGCATTTTTTAGGCTGAAAAGCATGGACCAATAAGTCGTAGAAGAGTGACCCAATTCGCTTGAAAAGATGAGTGACTTTTTGACAAAAAGAGTACCTCTCTTGATCGTCGTACCATAACGTCCAACTGGGGCAGAAAGGCGAAGTGATAGGAGAAGGCGAAACGTCCTGTAACTCAAATGGTTTCTAAATCGCGCCAAGATTCTAACGCTCCGCCCATTCGGCGGCATGTCAACTCGTACCCCGGTCATAGCCCCAGGCCGCAGATATCTGTTCATCAGGTATTAGGACCAGGTCATGCCATTGGGTGAGGACGTCCCAACAGATAGTGAATTGTCTTGCCTGACCTGTGAGTTTGGTAGTAGGATATTGGTCTTAGTGTAGAGGGACTTCGTAGACCTACTAGCTCGTGACCTTTGAAAAATGGGAAACAGGAAGGATTTCTACATCTCGAAAAGTAACTTTTTTTCCTCTCCTACGCCCAAACCATCCAAATCTTTAACCATCCCACAGGAGGTTGGACAGTTTCGGAGAACTTCCTTTTTTTCTCCAATGGAAGGCAGTCCCAGGTGTTTTTGAGACTCTTATTGGTTCCACCCACAAGGAAGCTTCCAGCAAATGCCGGGGAGAATCTGGACTGTTGCGGAATTTCAATGGGTGATTTCCTTTTTAACCAAGATCTCCCTTGGCTTTGCTATATAAAGGTATCGCTGCTAACGACACGAAGGATGTGTGGAAAAGTATTTTGGTTCCTTTCAACCAAACGACCATTCTACAGATTGGCTGAAGACTTATTCGGGAAGTATCGGAGAATTAGAAAGCGCATGGTCGTATTCATAGGGGATCATCTGAATTCACTTTTTGCTGAGCAGCTACATCCAGTAAGCAAAGGGAAAAATCCATGGCAGCCGAAACCCCCTAGTTCTCTGAGGGGTGCTGCCCGTTCGTTCTTCCCACCTCGTCATGATAAGTGATAGATAGCTTGCAACGAAGACCATTACCATGTCCCACAGAAACGAAAATTCAGTATGGCACTAGGCTCTTACAGTAATCCAACCCCATGTTAATAAGCAAGTTTCCACCCATCGCATATACGACGCGTCGAAAAGTAGCCTTGGGCAAGGAGACAGGAGTGGGTGGTGAGTAAGCCAGGGGGTTACCGTAAAAGCCGAGTGCCCGTACTGAATTTTCCTCTCTGTCCATGTCCCTACATGATGACGGCACAGCTGCTCAGCATGACCTAGACACTACCGCTACTGCTGGTCGCCCAGCGCTTCTCTAGCCCAAGGTTTAAGACTGGAACCCTTGCTGATGGGACAATCTCAGTACGAGCTTGAGCAATCATGTACTAGGCTCAATGGCTTAGCTTTTGGCATATAGCACCCTGGCAGGTAGTCCGCTGTGGGGACTACCTTCCCAACATACTTTCACCCAAGCAGTAGTTATCATCAGGGTCGGATATGAAGGCATAGGGAAGAGCAGTAAATACTGGTTTCAGGCGAAAAGTCTGAAGTAGAACCCTTAATTTTCTGGGTAGCCGAAAGTTTGAGTACTCCACGGAATACTCACTTCCGTGGGAATGAACTGAAAGAGCGCAGTTCGATATCCCACTGAAGAACCATCGTTGGTCTTATATCGAGCACAGTCTGACAGACATTTTTTATGGTATCTTGGCATGTTTCCAAATGAACTAAACTTCTATTTCTGGTGCTGTTTGAACCTCTTATGCGCAGTGGTCTTCTAGTTATACTTACTTGCTGGGTCGTCTCTCGAAGGTTTTAACCATCTGACAGGCCCCGCATCAGCCTAACATCGAGGGGTTGGCATCTATTACTGAAAAGGGGACCAACGCTGCGTTCACAATAAATTACTAGATACTGCCCTCCGGGACTTTGCAGTTCCCACGTTTTGACGACGACAGTACTACTTTTCCTAACCTTACTTTTCCTAACTGTCACTGAGCATTACTGTCAAGTAAAACGCCCCCTTTATGCAAACATAGAATATGTGACCAACAATTTATTCCACTCTCCTGATCATATTCCTTGTGATTTTATTATCGTCCAGTAGTTATTACTCAACATAATGTAAAGCACATAGGCTGCTTTAATAGCCCGCCGGCCGGCGCGCTCGCGGGCCGGCCGGCGGACTATGAAAGCAGCCGTAGCGACGCCTTTATACAGCAAATGGGAAAAGTTTTCAAAAACAAAAAGATAAAAACAAAAGCTAGATACCCAAGAGGTGGCCATGTTAACTGTTAATGTACATATACACTTCTTATAATAATAATAATAGTCAATTAAAGTAAACAATAAGTAACATCCCACTAACATCAATAACAACAAAGCAATAACCGCAATTTCAACTGTACGATATAGGCGGGACCCATTACCAAAAACAAAACATTTGGTCTTTTTTAACAAAAAAAACAATTCAAATACTATATACATTAAGATTTAGGCAAATAGACAAGGCGAGAGAAGTTTAACACTGACGCTGGAGCCGGAGATTAGGTGTCAATGTGAGTGATATGACGCAGTATCATGCCATCATGACCATGAAGATCTTTCATCTCCTTCAAAAAAAAAATGATAGCACCCGGAGTTGTTTTGTGTGTACTATGTTACGGGAGACGGGCAGTAGGAACGGTTTTGTGTAATCGATCGCTTCTTGATTTCTTACTTGCTGCTGCACTTTGCTACATTCCTTCGCGCGCGGCGTCTCTCTCGCCGCGAGCGACAATTTCGTTCCTACTGCACCACACCCTTATGTTACATACCTGAAATATTGCATAAGAATCGCCTCGTGGAAGAGTAAGGTCCGATGGAATGCGATCAAAAGGACCAAGATATCTCGTCATTGACCTAAACGACATGAATTGTTGGTTTTACGGTTTACCCCTAACCAATAAATAAGGAAGGCATCCCAACTAACTTTGCATAGTAGTTTCCAGGTACCAGGTGGTTCTTCATATGAACATCTAAATCATCTCTCACTGTTATACCAGGCAGTCGTCTTGGTGAAATTGGGCGTGAACGGGCACCAGGCTTCGGTGGTCTGAAACATCACCAGATATGTATGATCTGATCAATAAAGCAAGTATCTGATAAATGTAAAAAGATTACACTGTGAGCTGTCGGATGTTTACCCATATACGCTTACCCGTACGTGGGTGTCGACCCATACTCTGCAAAATCAGTATTCACGTGAGTAAAAGAACCATGTCGCAGTAATAAACTTTCCTTACCCGCAAAATAAAGTAGGTATCACCGCTCGGAAGTTCATGTATAGTGGGTTCACAGTCGAATGGACCAAGAATTTGTGTCATCGATCTGAAGGTACTAAACATTCACGAACCACATAGCTCGATATCGAAGAACAATACCTCACATACAATTTTCGAGCCTTTTTACTGAATTAATTCAGAAACGCCCGCGACGTTAGTTACCCACTTGAGATTTGAAATTATCACGGGTGGTCTAGCTCCTCACTGAGAGATGCTCGAGGTAGTTTACGTTCTCGGGAAAAAATCGGCATAGGCAATTACGCCTTCTACCCAAAACCGTCACCACGGTTTGCGCTTGCGAGAGCCCAACAACCCCGCTAAGTATGCTATCCTTGCTGAGTCTTGGTTCAGAGCCCCATGCAATTGACCCATTTTCAAAATTTTCCAGTATGACTCCAGGAAATCAAACTTGTACGGCCCTTCAAGTCAAAGTAGCTTCTCTGGCACGAGTTCCATGCAACATCAAACATCCACCCCTTTCTATAGAGATCAAATTCGACTCTTCTGATGAATGAGGAGGACCTACCTCGCTTGGTATTCGCCGGGAACAACATAGTTCAACAGCATCTCACTCTCTTCCATGGAAAACGCTTCAACACCTGGAAGCTGGGTTGGCTCCGTCGGACGAAAAGGTGGTGGAACACTTCGAGGTATGGGTGGCGACGATGGATGAGTAGGAGGAACACTTCGAGGTATAGGTGGCGACGTTGGACGAGCAGGAGGAACACGTGGATGCATGGGCCGACGAGGAATACGTGGAACACTTTGAAGGCAGGATGGTGATACAGGACGAATGGGAGGTTGCAAAAGATTCCTCTCAATTGAAGGCGGTATAGGGCTGAAAACAATAAAATTCAACGGGAACAGCGCCCATGTTATTCATTCTATCAGTCTTGGAATTAAGTCATGCAAAGAGTTAATTCCAACTAAGGAAGATGATTCTTATCGAATACTAACTTCAGTTCTAGATTCCCCGGTCCTAATGGAGGATTATGTGGATGCATGGGTCGTCGAGGAATACGAGGAACACTTCGAAGATAGGGTGGCGACAGAGGACCAATGGGAGGTTGCAAAAGATTCCTCTCGATTGTAGACGGAATTGGGCTGAAAATAAGAAATTTAACGGGAACAGCGCTTCATATTACTCATTCTATCGGTCTTAGGAACAAGTATTATATTTGTAGAGACAACTCCTCTTAGGAATATGATTCTACTTGAATTCTAACTGCAGCTCTAGATTCCCAGATCCTATTGGGAAGCTCTCATTAACACTGGGCTGATTGTATACTCGTTTCCTAACTGTAGAGAGTAAAAGTTCTGGCAGAGTTCCCTTTGAAAAACAATCTGAATTGCCTATACAACACCTCAAATATGAGCAAAGGTAGAGAAGCAAGTAGCAAAGGCTTCCCTTGTAACGCGGGTAGATAATTCGATTTATTCTCATTATGGATTACATAATATGTCCCTCTCATCACCCAAGTTGGTAAGGTAACGTACAGGTTCATGGTAGTACAACATTAAAGCGCTTAGAAAAAAAAACAAAGAAAATATTGAAATCACCCACTTTCCATCTTTTGCCCGCTGCAATCCGGATGAAGTCGGGCAGAACGGATCGTCGGGGATCGGGGAAGCGCATTGATCCGCCTAAAAACGTGAAAGTTAAATCTCTTTGTGGTCTAAGAACCGCTCTTGACGGTCGTACCATGGCGTCGAACTGGGCAGACAGGAAAGTAATTTAGAGAAGGCGAAATATCCAACAACTAGAGCATTTCCTAAATCACATGCCAAAATCCCCACGGTCCGCCCAAATGGGAGCGTGTCAACTCATACCGCAGGCGTAACCGTAAGTTGCAGTGATCTTTACATCAGGCAGTAGCGCTAGGTAATGTCATTGGGAAGATATGACCTAACACTACTGCCTGATGTAGAGCTCAATAGAGGATCGATTTGGTCACTTCGTCCTAGATTCTAGGCATCACATCATAACGTTATGGCCACACAGTTACGGTAGAAGTACAGTATAACGGTCGTCGATTGAAGGATTTCATAGACTTGGAAGCCTTGTCGTCGAATTGTTTGAAAAATGAAGCTTGGACCCGAAAAGTGACCCTTCCAGCCGACATCCCTAAACCGACAATCGAAACACGATGACCGCTATGAGCGTTGGAGATGAGTACAGGATTCTATAATGTAGTAATCTATCTGGTAACCTAAGCGGCCCAAGACTTGCTCCGAATGGTACTGAAACCCAGGAAGCACCGTTTAGTTCTCATTGAGAGCTACACCGACCTGTTTTTGTGGACCGAAATATCCCCTGGATACGACCAGAGATGGACGGCGGTCCGAGGGAACCCCCGATTCTCTGCGGGGTACAGACAATACATTCCATGAGCCCCGTTCATGATTAGTGATGGATATTGTTGAACAAAAACCATTGCCAACTTCCCCTTTGAAGACGCCCAGTTGCTCAGCACGACCTTGACTTTACCGCTGTTGATGATCGCCCACTCTTCCTAGCCCAGGGTTTGGAACTGGCACTCTTTCTTGGGTATATTGAGTTTGAGAAATCGTATACCAGTCTCATAGGTAAGCTTTTGGCTGGCATTCCTTCTACTAAACACGCATTTACCAATCTCGATAGTAACTTGGTTGTCGCCTTATTGAAGACCTTGTAGGACACAAATCACAGAAGGAACCAATTTTTCTAGACCGCTCCCTTCTGCAGCAATCATTCACAGCTTCGGGTAATAAAGACAATGAAGAAGGCAATGTAGACCGACTTTAAGAAAGGAGACTGTAGAAAAAAGCGTATCCTTCAGGGTTGTTAGAAGTTAGAGCTCTTTGCGGAACCTCGCCTTCGGAGGTGTATTTCGTGAAATGTTCCGACTTTCTGGGAAGTAGACTTTCCCGACAGCGGATGACATGTGGACTCAGCTCGGCAGCGGAAAAATGATAATCTATCGTTTCTTCTGATATCGGGAATGACCTACAACTTATTTCACTGTTGAGAGCATCTATTCCACTTGTAGGGACAAGAGGAGAGAACCATTGTAGGGCCTATCTACGGCTCAGATGTGTAGCGGCTCGAACCGCAACGATCATTTGAATAGAAGTAACGATCCTTACCTTTTAGAAACAAAGATTTCAACGAATAGGCAGGATTGCCGCGGACCCAATATGCGATGGGTAATACTCCCCCTTCCTACCGTACCTCCCCTAAACTGTCCTTTTTTGCGGTAATACCTGGATCATCCAGACTTGTTCCTGAGATGAGATAGCTCCAAGTGCCGCCTAACGTATCTGTGGTGTAAAACTCTCAGACCAGACCCAGACTAGCGTGGGGCCTTGGATTTAGGTAAAACTAGTTGACCGGTGCCAGGTTTTCCTGGAGCACGACGAAAGCACTTGCACGAGCATTTACCGTGTAAGCCGACGTGAAGGCCAAGAGCCCACGACACTGAAAGGAAGCTGGATGAATGTCGCATTCTGAGAAAGAACCACTGTCTTCGGCTGTAAAAGCCATGAATTCCAGGGTAGCCTGGATAACCGCTCAGTTAGAGGCCACACATTTTCCCTCTTACTTGGCCACTAGCCCAGAGGAAAGTTTTATTAGTACAGAGCCGACGAAAAAGCGCCCTCAGTAACACCTCACAGCCATGAAATCGTCCGTCTCATCTCCCAACTTCCTTTTATGATAGAATAAGCGGTACGTTTGATTGTGATAAGAGCAGACCATCCCCATTTCTGCTAGTAGGTCCTTTCCTTCAGATAATACTTCATGGGGAACAATCATGCCACATGTATGAAACAGATTTATTTGATTACCAATGACATCCTGATAGTGTGTTTAGTGAAAGGCAATGGATACGATAGTTTGGGTGACAGTGGGGAGCTGGAGTTGTGGCCTCTGAGAGACAGGAGGCCCTCAACTCACAGGGGCTACCATGTTCCTGCATTAATTCATACGGTGTGACCGTCATCATCTGGGCCCTCTTTTCTACCCTGGTACTCTATACTGTAGTTGGACTTCGTCTTCCATGGTATTAACTTATCCTTCGACACGAAACCAGATTTCCCAGCATTCTTCATTGACCTCTTGTACCTCAGAGCATTAGAATGCTCCCCTTATTCAGCATTAGATTTGGGCAAAGTTAGGATTGAGGCGTGATCGCAGACGAGCACCAGATCGTAATCCATTTGTCGGGTGTGGGGCCAGAGACGGTAATTGGGCCGAGAACCTGGATTATCTTCCCATATCCGATTTTCAGTATCTTTCTTCCTAGAGGCACTAGGTAAGGGGCATAACTCATGGTACATGGTCAAGGGGTACCTCATCACGGATTGGGTGATGGCAGATTACACAGTCGACGACAGGTCCCAAGAATACCACCATACACCCGCAAATGAGCGAACGCTGACTTGATGAGCTCCGTTTACACCATACCAATAGCTGTAGGACGACAGTACACTCCCACTTTTGCTCATAAATTTCGAATCGGTTTATAACCTTACAAGCTTGCCAGGAAAAATGCTCTCATAGCCGCGGAATAAAATATCCCAACGATGATAAGTGAACGGCTAATGTTTAATGGTCATCGGATACGTATACATAGGCTTTCGCTATCACGTGCCGAGATCTGATGCTTTGAATGCTTTCTATACCATAACCCTTGCGTCTCATGTGAACGATATAGATAAATCGACGGAAATAAGATAAAGTCTGACCAATAAAGTCCTTAGGCTTTACTCATCTCCTTCTAACGGGCGCGCCCATGCATTCAATTTCTATTAGGAATCGTAATGGCACATTGAAAGTTTATGTGGTCTATACAGTGACATGCGGTGGCCAGTCGATGTACAAGTCGGTGCTTTTCTCCTCCCAGACGAGTACGGTACCAATTAACCAACCCCGGAGAGACGAAACGCATGGTTGGCCTAGGCAGATATTGAGGTAGTATAGTGGTGAGTAGCCGCGTCTGTCAGAATTAAGATATTGAGAAAAATGGCGATTTATTTGTAGCACAGTGACTTCGTATTGTAAGGCATTAAGATGCTAGAATCCGCAATAGCTTATCACAGCAGTTACACAAATGGATTGCACGACGTATAACAACGTATTGAAGTACAAGGGGCAACAAATTTCACATTGCAGTGGGACAACGAAGCAAGCGTTAAATCCCATCACCGGAGGATATACCACATGCCGAACACGGAAAACTTGAAACACAATGGCGTTGATTATGCTGGAATTACTATGCGAGTAAAACTCAAAATTTAGACTAGAGTTACGCCCAGTGATTCTATATGAACAAATAAGTGATCACGAAAAATCAGCTTTTTTTCAGGGAATCAATTCTTCTTCTCTAACTTGTCACTGAAATATAGACAATGGAAAGCAGTATCAGACCATCATAGGGAGGTTGGCTTATGTCCTTTACAGCTGCCCTCCTCCAACTCCTGGAGGCGTAATTCTAGTTGAATCCTGACCTAAATAGCACAACACTGAAAACGTAGAAAGGAAGGAAATAGGAGACTTTCTCATTCAAAAATCCTACCTGAGCCATTCGAGCTCTTTCCGCTTCAAGCTCAGCATTTTGTGCACGAAGACCTGAAGAGTAAATTGGTATAAATAAAATAAGTACACTATGCTTGATAAAGACAGAAGAGCCTGTCAAAGGCAATTGGAACTACATTTAAACTGAAACGTTCCATGACTACTATTCCTACAATGTGACCTCAATGAAAAAATCAAACAGAACACGCCGTCGTACACTTGTTCCCACTTCACATGGCCCATGAATTGAGTTCAACAAAAAAAAAACATTTAGGAACTACAGAGAAGGGACAGTCAAAGAAACAAACAGTCCGCATACGCTATGTAGGATTCTGGCTCATCATGCGATCCTCCGCCAAAATGGGCAGCCGACAGTATGCAGCCGGCAAATATCTATATGGAACGCTTGATATCAGAACCAAAAGAAATGGGATAACATTAGGATCAAATCAAATTCCTAGCCCAGGCATCCTGATAAATCTTCCTAAAGTTGTCGAGAAAGGGAGAGCAACAAAATCATTTCCACTCCTTTTCAGCGTTGCAGCCACGGGAGCATTCACAGTGCCGCGCCGTCGTGGGTGCCAAAAGTCAGGGAAAATTACTGACATGAGAGGCACAAGTCGGCAACAAGTTAATAAGGAACATGCATTCATAGGTCCTTTTCACTTATCTTTTCTCAAAGAAGCGCTCCTTCCTTCCTAAGAACCCAACCCTACCTATTTTCTATGATCACGTAATCGATTTTTTACACCCAAGCATTTCCTTTCCCCCGTCACTCTGTGCCGGGAGCCACAAACATGGGTCATTGACTTGCGAGGTATCAGTCGACTGCAGGCGCCGATGCCGATGGAAAAACGGCGACGCTATGAATGCGACCCATGGGACCAGAAATCAAAATTGGAGAAAGAAACCTTCTACATTTTTACTAAAGCAACCGTAATGGATGCTCTTGAATGGAGAAGATTAGGGAACATTTCACTTTTAATCATAACAACACAATATCCAAAATAGTAAAAAGCAACATCAGCCATGCTGGTGAACACACCAGCATGGCTGATGTTGCTTACTGTACTGTATACCCTTACTGTATACCACAATGTTCCGCCTTCCTTTGCCAGCCGGAAACCAAAATATGCGCTTAAGTTGAGGCCTCAAAATTTTATAATTTAGAGACATAATGAATACAGAACAATTGCCGTGAAAAGAATGCAGCGATACAGTCATGTGGTGTCACGTTTGATTTCTGAACTACAAAGAAAACAGAGATCTCATGAAGAAAATGGATGGGCAGGGAAATAAAGTATGGAGAAACTTTCGAAGACACTATTACCAAATGTATGATGCATCAATGCAAAATCCATCAAGAATTTTGCATTTGGTAGAACAAAAACAAAACAAAAGAAAAACAAAAACAAGGAAGAGAAAAGTAGTGTCACATAAGTGAAGGGAGGGAAGAAAAACAAGTACCTTCACATCTTCTAGCCCATCTTTCCACTCCTTTTCCAAGGGCCGCATCAACTTCATCTCCAAGAAGGTCAGCTATTTGAGTATCTTCAAGTCAAGAACATAAGGACAAGCAGAAAAACAGAAAGAACACCTGGCTGAGATCGTCACTCACCAAATTCCGCAATATATCGCTCTATCTCCTTCACGTCCACGTATCGCCCTTCTGTTTGTGTTTCTGCCGCACTGCTTCGCCTTGGAATAGGCGCAGGAGGAGAAACCCTTTGCGGAACTGGTGGTGGTGGAGCTGTAGGAATTGAACCTTAATAAATGTATGATAGATATTATTGCTAACTACTCAATGCGAGCCTAGACTATGCTAACCAGATATAGTCAAACTTGGAGTGTGATCGTGAGTAACAGCTGTGGAATCAGAAGGACGTCGATCTCCATATAGAAGTGACATTCTTGAAGAATTAACTACTCAATGGTTCACGACTGAGATAAATATAGAAAGGAATAATTAAAATTTACCCAGTCTGTGCAAGTTGAATGTTCTTCATCATATCCAGGCTAGCACTTCGGGTGTGACCTCTTTGTTGAGGACGGGGAGGAGGTTGTGGAGGCGGCCCACAAGGAGACTTCAAAGCCAAAAGCGGAATGGCTGTAAAAAAGGGTCGATACTAGTGAAAAATATAATGTACAAAGACTACAGAGCTTGATACTTTGTTTCACTGCAGTTGGGCGACTATCGACCAGCAACGGAGGAACATCGGAGAACTCGGCCAGATGGGCATCCTAAAAAAACTACTAATAGAAACAATAATTGCTAAAAATTTACTTACCTTCTTGTCAGCGGCCACAGAATTTCGAAGCGGTCCATCATCATCAAACTGATTCCATGAACCCGTAGAAGGAGGACCTGAGATATAATGAAGAAATAGCATGCCAGGCAAGAAAATAATCCGCCCCATTTATTATGGAAGTATGCGGCCCATATGCGATGGGCAGAATGATCTGTATCGTTTCAAACCATAATATTTCAAAGAACAAAGAATAAACACAAATAAAAAAAAAGAGAGTGATGGGTGCCAAAAGGAAAACCTTACTCCTCTACCAACTTTCAATGCGCAGCTATTAGATATATAGTCTTTTACCCGAAACTCAGTTCTATGCAACCAGTTTCAAAATTCACCTCGTGGAACGGCGGCGGATGCAGCAGGGCTATACTGCATCTGAGGAGCAATATGTGGAGGAGTGTATGGAGGACGAATACATGCTGGCAAGCATGTGGGAATCGCTACGTGTCCCTGCAAACAGATGGAAACTAAAATTATTTTTTGCGTACTAAGGACAAAGGCTTTTAGATTCAAATGAGATGAGTGAGTCTGATATCGTTCAAATTAACTTTTAAATACCTTCACTCTCAATACAATAAGATGCATCGCCGTTGAGAATTCATTGATATCTAGCCAACCATCTTCGTTAACATCAGAAAGGCTCCAGATCCTATATAGCAACAACGATGGCTATGTTAGAAACCATCTATACATGAGGAAACCACAAAAGACCATGTGTTTCAACCGTTAGCGGGCTGAAGTTCATGAATGCCAACCTTTGATTTTGGGAACCAACCAGTGAAGGATAACATAAACTCTATCAACTCTTCTAATTGAAAGATGAAGAAAAATCAGAAAGGAGTTTAACGCAGACGATGCACTTTGTAAAAACCACTCATGAAATTCTCATAGTCCAAAGAGCTAGAAAGGGAGTTTACGGGAACGTGGATGAGCCAATTTTTCAAAACGACAACTATCAAGGCAACCTCTACTTAATGATCCGACTAACACAAAATTAAATAAAACACTGTATGTCAAAAATATGATGGGGTTAGTCGGATACCACCTAATGTGCTAAAATGAACCAATACTCCATACAAAATACGAAACCGAAACTACCTGGATAGAGAATCGTTATCGAGACCACTACGCCTGAAGAAGTCTACGACCCGTGAATCTCCACCATTCAATACACCTTCAAGACTTGTCGTTCCCTGAGAGGCACAATCTTATTCTCCTTTCCAAGAAGTTCGCTCAAATAAAATGGGGGGCAACCCACCTGAGTAGTTTTCATCAAATGCCGAAAACATTTTGTGTAGTAATCCCGTTGGCGATCTGATATTTCATAAAGTGCATCCTGACTTGCATAAGCTTTACCTCTGAAAGTAGATAACGAGTTGAAGAGTATTCAATAAAACATTGTGCAAAGGAACAGCTCATTGGAAGAATAATAATTTTAACACTGCGATGGACCCCAATCGCTACAACTAGAATAGCTACACTCCACATAGGATGCACCAAAAAGGCTCACCATCATAAAAGTACACATTATGAAAGCAAAATGGCAGGAAAAGGAACGCTCAATAGAAATCCTGACCACAGTTTTCAGGAGTTTCGAAAATCAGTTCACTGTTGAAAAGAGGTGGTATCGAAACTCTGAGAGAGTGTTAGTTTTATTATCAGTTTTGTGAAAAAAGTCAGTTTTGAGTAATGTCAACGGCAGCAATACCAATAGAGCTTTAAAAAGATTGATATGCCTTGTAATAACCGCTCAGTCTCTAGTACGGTGCTTTTCCTGACTATCGTGACCCTGAGCGCAAGGCATTGTATAGGACAACGAAAATAGAAAGAAATCATCTTCCCACATTGATTAAAGTGATTGATGATTGAGACGATTGAGATTGGATAATCACATCATTAGAGCAGAAAAGCTCAAGCTCTACCCATTTCGATCGAGACGCCATAAAAACACCCATTAGGTTGACAAGGACAGACACAGTAATATGCTCACCTTCGAGGACTGGCGATTATATCGGCGACTGTTTTCGCAAAATCTCCATTGGCAAAATAGAGTGGTCGACTTTCAGGGTCTGTCGCCATAAGCAGAGTTGATCTGAACAAAATGCAAATTTTTTTCAAAAAAAAAATCCAAAGAGATCCGCTCGAGCTCAAAAGAAAAACATTAAGACTGCCTAGAACAGAAGAGAAACATGATCGTTGCATGGATGAACATGCATCAGAGCCGATTTATCTACTAACTTTAGCTGAAAACGGAGAACCGTATAGTTTGAGTCATTTCCTTTTTTTACCCGCAAACTTTGTCGGGAATGCGATTGAATGACCGATTAGATCGACATCGTATTTGGACAGATCACTGGGAAGGGCGACAACAACTCCACCAATTCACCTTGTATCGGTCCTCGGTTCTGAAGGTTTTCAGGGGCTTCGTGATACTCCTTAGAATGGCAGCTGTTAGGGATCCACCATCAGTAGACGATGAGCTCTAGTCACGCTAAGCGCAGACTCTGGTACCTGTTTACCAATCATTTGGACCCTTAACTGGACTTATGCAAATAGTGAACAGTGAAGGAGAACTACTATTCAATGAAAACTAGCTCGATTTCAATATCCATGCAGCAGCCTGGTATGTTTACCGATGTTTATTGTCATTAATTAAGTGCTCAGTTATCAACCAGCTTGTTTGTGTGACACAACTAAACTACAGTCCGAGTGGCTGCTTTCATAGTCCGCGAGCGAGCGCTTGAGCTGGCCGGGAGACTACTCGTCCGCGGTATCAACCAAGATTCAGTCGTAAACAACCGGTCGCTCGCGAGCCGGATGGCTGACTATGAAAGCAGCGGGTGATGTATTTGAAGGTTGTTTTAATTCAACAGACTCTTCTTCAAAGCCCATTTCAAAGCCAACAAAAGCTATAAAGTGCGACCACACTTCCCTCAATTTTCCAACACATCCGGAACTCAGTGAAAACCCTGGATGAAAGTTGGTTACATCTTCCGAGCGAATCGGTGGCACACGTAGACTTGGGTGGTTTCCAGAATATATGGGTAAAGCTAAAATGAAACAAACAAAAAGAGTGCAACAACGACAGACTGCTCGTGGCCGTTGACGCAACGCGTGAGGTACGCGAGCGGTGTTCAATAAAACACCTGTTACAGCGTAATGCCAAAATCGAATCGGTTTTTGTCTGGCGCTTCAACTAATTCGTTTCTTTTTGCTCTTTCCCTTATCGACTGACTAGTCATAAGGAGTATCACGTTGATGACAGCATATGAGTCATTACTGATGACGTTGGAAGCCGACTTGTGGGCTATCGGAGCTGCAGGGAACCCATAGGTCAAAGATCTTCACAAAACCTTCAAGACAGTCAAGGTGAGACGTCCGAAAAGCTCCCAACAAGATGTTCAAGAAGAGGCGCTATGACCTTCCCAGGGTCTACTGACCATCTGTGGAGATGGATTGCTGGCTGGAATCTCCCCAAATTCCCTCTTGGCCAAGGGCAGAGCGGCGAACAACAAACATCTGCAGTTATTGAAGTTATTCCAGGTAAGAGATGACGGAGAATACGATATGAAAGATGAGTGACAACAATATAGGAAAGAAATAGGCAAAGACCAGGGAGGGAACAAATTAATACGAAAACTACAGCACGGGCGCTGAGTCAGTGGTGAAATAGCGATGGTTGAAAGAAAAATATTTCTGAATCATTTATATGCAGGAAAAAGACTCCTCTGCTCTAATCTGGACTGCACAGTGAAAAAAAACACGATGTAAGGAAAGAAATTTAAAAGTAACATTGGAATTTGGAAACGATGCCGAAAAACTAAAGCTTAACATAGCGAAACAGGAGGTAGGAAATGAAAAGGAGAGAGCGAGAATGAAGAAATTATTCGCCACAAAAGTGAACTGGTTGAGAAAGAAAAAAACTTAAAAGTAAGGCCCCAGGAGCAAAGAGCACTAACAGACCTCGCATACTAAATACAGGCGTCAAGTTAAATGTTTTATTATTGAAATCTCACACAACGTCATAACGTCATAATGCAGACGTCAAAGGCAAGGCAGAAAGGCTAATCCCGTGTAGGTAATTCTAATAAAGAAACGAAACCAGATGAGTGAGTAACATTTGTTGTAACTATAAATTTACGTGGCGAAAATGTAATCGGGAACGAGCCATCCCTCCTTCCTAGTACTGAATAGTAAAGGTAGCCGACCCTGAGCTCTGGCGTCTAGTGTTTGGGAAGAGGGGTAACCCCACGCCAACTACCATTACGGTAGGGGCTTGTAATGGTGCTGGGAAACGTTCTTTATCCAAAGGGATATAGTATTCTACCTCGAGAAGCCTTAGGAGGGAAGGAGCAGCGAGATGGGTGAGATGATTACCTCCTACAAGAAGCGGGGATGGGGTAAGAATTGGACATTCGGTCGATTACTGATTCATTTCTATTCAAAAGTGTTGGCAAAGTGCCAGCAAATAAAAGACGGATTTCATAGTCCCGTGAATATGTTACACAGTAACCCGAAGACACTTGGACGTCGCCCATTGGGGTAAGTGATGGGGCATTAGGGGAGGTACTGTATCACACTTTCACGGGACGTTAAATTCTTTAATTCAACAAATCCTGCCTAGAGGATACCATCACAATCGCGCAGAGATAGCTAACCGTGCTTTTCTGCACAGTGTTAACGAAAAGAGGACCCCTCCACCCTCTTCGTCCCCACTTCTCTCCTCCACAACTGTGTTTTCACCCTTTACGATTTTCAAATTCAGATCTACGAGTCCCTAGTCCACTCAAGAGGCACAGTTGGTCTGGTCTACAATGCGGTAGCCAGGATAGGCTTTCCTGTGAAAGGTACGCTTGGAATGACGTGTAGACCTAAAGTCTACCGAAAAGGCTAGAAAACCTGTGACATTACTGTAACAATATTGCTTGTTGTGGTACCATCTATTCCAACGCTGATATATTCGACTAGCATGGTCACTGTGTTACTCTCTCCCCGAAAATCGCGTCACGCGCGGCCGGGCGTTATGAAGGGAAAGATTTGAATTCCCAGTGAAGTGATTCGGTAGTCGCCGCGGAACCACAGTCGCTCTCTGTGGAAATTCGGGGAGAAGTACCGCCACCCTGGGTGTCGATGGTAGTCCCTTGAGCTGAACCCACGAAAAATTATGCTTAGGTAAGGTCACCCTATTTAAACAGCTCTTCAAGCTTAGGGTTATCCGTAGAATACACAGGTTGACTATTCTAAAGGTTAGTTATCAAATTCTGACTTCAGTCAGTCAGTGGTAGTCAGCGGTGCCTATGAAGTTCCTCTGTAGATTGAACCAGTGCTTGACCGAATGGCTTCTTAAATGGCTTTTGTTTTTTCAGGCTCCTAAGAAGGCGACAATCGTAAAGGCTATACCTTGTCTTTTTCTCTGCCTTTCGGCGACATCTTAACTTCGTACCGTGAAGTATTTGTTTCTGGAACTCCGATACAGAACAAGAAGAGAGAAGATAAGGTTTATGCTGGGTGACAGAGCAGGCAGAATAAGACATTTTTTGCAGGCACAAAGCGAGACACAAGCTTAAAGTAAGATTAGACCGATGATTCTGGAAACTTGGTAAAACTCATGTGATAATGGAGACATATAATGAAATAGGTATGTTAAGATCAACAAAAACAATCTCGCTATAAAAGCATTATTGCAGGTGAGCTGCATTTTTTTTTAGCATGGAAGTCATATTGTTGTACAGGGGTGAGTGGACTTTGATCATTCCGACGGTGTCGCAGAGGTAGTTTGCCGCTATATGGCTGCTTTCATAGTCCGCCGACCAGTCAGCGAGCGCGCACGCGGGCCGGCACGCGGACTATGAAAGCAGTCTATTGTCACGCGTATTCTGACTATGTGAATTCAGTTTTTGTGGTGACAAGTGTTCTTACGTCCCTGAGTTGTGTGAGTGGTTTCCGATGTTTCGTAGGCAACGACGCACTCTATACTATAGTTGAGGCAACTGTAAGTCCTACCTATCAAAAAGTTTAATGGTATTTAGCATTGTAATGTTTTAGACGTGGCTCTGGGGAGATTTCGTGTAAACTTCGGGAGAATGTTCTTCTCTGTATTGCCTGAAATTGATTTTGCAGGGCTCCCTCGTCTGTTATTTCAAAGCAACAAAAGCCTGCGATTTCAAACACGTAGAATACAATTTATTCAAAGCACAAGTTGTTTTTTTTTGGGCAGTAATTTTAGAGTAATGAAATCCTATGTAAATCAACGATTGCAGCGAAGTTCTGGCATTTGCTGGTTTCAGTATAAGACAGCCACCATTGTATGCTTTTGTACAGAGGATTTGTGCAACGGAAACTTCACTACTCTTTTGGTTGGTTGAGTGTTTCACTTTCCATTTACACACAAGGGCTGAAAAGTTCATTTAGTGACTCGTATTTCTTAGTCGGTGGGTGTAGAGAGTTCAGGCCGATCTATTGGCTTGACAAGCTCTCTGGCTCATTGATATTACCTCATTCAGTGATCAATACGTCTGGTATGTCGTTCTTAGGTTCGAAGCAAAGTAGTTTCTGAGTAAGTTTATCGAATCGCGAAAAGGGGCAGCTCACCATCACATCACTTTTGATAGCGAGGGTGGGTTTACTGTTGAACTATTTATCAACTCGACGCTATATACACGGTGGCTGAAAAGTATAGTACGCTTCGCGTATTAGTATTTCGCGCTTGCCGGCACTTTGTCAGTGGGTACTCTTCAAATCTTTTGAGACTTTTTGAAAGCACAGGAAATGTGCAAAAGTCCATATTAGTCATTTGAATGACCGTCCTTCTGGGCCATCGCTATAAAGGTTTCTTCGCATTGACCCAACATCGAGAAGTTGCTCAAAGAAAGTTTCAGGATTTGTGACATCGCGAAACGACTCGACATTTCCTCTTCAACCGTTTGCAATGTCTCTGCTGTTCTCAGGGCTCGAGGACAAGCCTCTGTGATTCCAAAAAGAGGACGACCGGGAATTGTGAACCTACCAAAGATGTGACATTATTAAGAAGAGAATCACTCGCAACGATGGAGTCCACGCGAATCCGATTGTTTCCTACCTCTGTATCAGCTTTAAACTGTTCAGAAGGTAGTGGAAAGTTGCCTAAAGCGGAACAGTTGTCGGTATTACTGAGTTTGTTGTTGTCTTGAACTCTTCACGAGGTTTTTAAGTAACCTTTATTAATCTGACGTTTCGGCGGAATCGCCTTCTTCAGAGCCTGAAAGGATCACAACAATCTGTGATTATCCGACCAAACGTCTCCACCAACCCACTAAGCTCGGCACGCAGGTGGTCGGAAGGAGAACCACTCACCGTAACTTTGTGGATTCTTCGAAACCACCCAACTAGTAGTGGTACCAACCGACCAGTGTCAGCGTGGGGTACGTTTTCATTAAAGTCTGTGGAAAGGCCCATCTTATATAAGGCCGTAGCTCCCGCGTGTTTGCGAGGCATTCTTCCCTCCGATTCATTTTAGGATCGGTGACCTGAATCCAAAATGCCTCGAGGGTTTTACGCGCGCACACGTGCGACTCCTGTGCTACGACCTCCACGATGACCTCAAAATCGCCTCCGTTATGCTTCTGAATTCGGTTTGTTTGGAATTCTGAAGTCGAGGACAGTTTGTTCCGGAACAGACTAAACAAAGTCGGTCTATGGAATGCAAAAAAGAGGTCCGGGCGGGCCTCATCTCTGACGTGATCTGGACTGATAAGAAAAGTTTCACTGTGGAACATTTTCAACAGTCAAAACCAGTGGCAGTCATTGCCAAAAGCTGATCCCAAAACGTCGTCGTGAGCATAGCCGACTATCTCCTGAAAGTGTGGTCATTTGGGCCGTGTTGACATCAGAATGCAAAACTAATTGAACTTCATCGAGAAAAATGTGAAAATCGACTGTGAATCGATTTACTACAGGTTCTTTTAAGGGGCACCCCGTCAATTTTGTTCAGTGAGCACTCCGATGACCTATCGTTCGTCCTTTAACAAGATTGGGCCCACTCACATGTCTTAAAATTGACGTAAGCTATAGCCGCTGGGCATTTCTCCGGCTATTGTGGCAGAGATATCTGACCTTCCCCTTCTCCAGAACTCAAAGCAGAGGATTTCTGTGTGTGGGGATATTTGATGAGCAAGATCGCAAGAGCGAAAGTAGTGTACCTCATGAGGCGGCAAGTAAGAGGAAAGTACAGGAACAAAAGAGTGGGAGGTTGCGCGAAAAGGGAGGACGTGAATGTCGGGATGGTTACTGGCTGCTTTCATACTCCGTCGACCCGCCCGCGAGCGCGCGCCGGCCGGGGGATTAGTCGGCCTGCGGTGTCGATCAAGATTCAGTTGTAAGCAAGTGGCAAGCGCCGCCCCCGGATGGCGGACAATGAAAGCCATGAAGGGCTGGGGATGGAAGAGGCTGACCCTTATCTACGAAATCTTCACTTTCCCAACTCAATGAGCATGAAATTTAGTGGATGATCATGCCATTCATTTTTCTTCTCTTCCGTTCTCGAGCACCTTAGCCAATTTTCAGCTTGAAAAGGCTGTGGAGCATAAGGGTCAAGGCTAATGTCGCATTACTGAACATCTTGTGAGCCTTCTGAAAGAGGCTATTCGAGTCATTTTCCCGGGAGATCCTCCTCCAGCACGCTTTTCGTGCTTTTTTCTTCCTCTTCTCCTTAGTGTTGATCGTCGCGGAGCCTGCTGTTATTAGTTATCATCATTTTCTCCAGGCTTCCGCCATTATTTTGGCATCTGCAAGGTCTGTCTTGACAATGTCCATCGTCAAATCTTCTAAGTTCGTCGTGACAGCTTTTTTGAGCTTCGGACTCCATTGGTTTTCGGAACGAATGCGTCGTGCCTTTCACAGCGTGTGTCCATACTGTCATTGCTGTCTTCTTCGGCGGTACACGGTCTGCCTGCGAGGCCGTCATCGTTTCTGGTTGCCCATCACCTCCAACCGTAGGCCCATCACAAGTTTTCATTTCTGTGGAGTTAAGTGGTCTTCTGCCTGCAGGCCATCCGTTCAAGAAGTGGTTGAAAAGTTCCAGAACATGCGCTCGGCCTCAGCTGGCTTTCTCGTTGTCAGAATAGAACGGCAGCTCACCCGACTACGGACGACTTCTTGTCGTTCCAAACCATTCAGCTGCCCCTGTATTGGTCCTATTATTCCCTTGATCTTATCTCATTAATTCATGCTGAATACGAAGTCACTGTTCAGGTACTAATTTGGATTAATTCAGGACACTTGGCAGAAAAAGAAAATAAGTAATGACCCTAAACATAAGTGTGCCTTGGATTTTTTGAAATCAAGTAAGGCTTTAAGTTATTCAAAACTCTAGCCAATAGAAGCGGAGGAGACGGACAGTGTGTCGTGAGCCTACCGGATAGAACGTCAAGAGAGCTTAGTCGATCAAATCGTGGCATAGGGGGTATAGGTATATTCACCCAGAATTGGATGGACGCGGCAAAACGCGCGGCAAAAATCTTGGTGATTAAAACGACTTTGGCGCCTATCATTGGGGCACAAGTTTCAAGTAGAGATTGGATAAGTAAGGCCAGCTGATGCTACTTATCTATCCCACTTCAAGTTTGTGCCCTAATGATAGGCGACAGAGTCGTTTTAATCACCAAGAATTTCGCCGCACGGTTTGCCGCGTCCATCCAGTTTTGGTTTCCCCCTGGCATAGGCTATGTGTCAACGGTGTACAGCTGTGAGGCTCACAAAATCTGACCTGGTTATCGCTGAGTGGAAAAATTGTAGTGGTAGACATCCTCCAGCCTCCAGTGAGCCAACGGATTGGGAATCGGCCAATTGCATAAAATGTGAATGACTCGAGTGTAATGAAATAAGTCGGAATGGACATAAATGACCTAGAATTTTTCTTTCCGATCCTACCGTTGTCCCTTTATTCACAGTTCGTAACTTACTTTTTCGAGTGTAAATAATCATAATAATATAATGTTGTCAATAACAATCAGTCATGAAGACATCTCAAGTAACTCGATTACACCCTATACGTGTACCATCATATTTGTCGGATGCGGGCAATGACTGAATCGCTTACATTCTTGCAACTGTGTTATAGAAAAATTTAACATGACAGTGCTTCACATCCGTGAAACTTTGCAGAAAGTTTCGGAAGTGATTGCAAAGCAGCAAGAAGTTATGTTATGTTATGTTTATTACGCTTCTAAGGCAAACGTATTCGGAGCGATCATGTTTTTTGTTTCCTTTCTGTAGAGGCTAGCTGCTCTGAATGTGAAACTTCTGGCTCTTATACTGGTTCTGGGCCTAGGGAAATTTGTTTTGGTCTGACTTCCTCTGGTTCGGGAGTTAGCCATATAATAGAAATGAAAAGAACCAAATTTATCACTTTGGTACAATAGCTTGTAAACCATGCATACGTCGAATACCTTGCGCCGTGATTCCTAAGTAGCGGGTTCAAAGCACTTGTTGCGAATAGATGCTTGAGGAATTCTAGAATAGAAAGGACTCCTACGTCGGCAAAGGATTTTACACGTAAAGTTGTTTTGCACCTTCTCAA